TACATCTTCGAACTAATCTAGTATACGGTGTGGTAGCCTTATTCCTCAGTTGGCTAGACCCCCCAGAGCAATATCCTTCCGGTACACCATGTCTTCGAAAGACACGCAGTCGACACCCATATATGCCCTGCGACGTGCCTCTTCTAGGGTATCACCGTAAGCAGCAACCGAAAAGACACGCCCTCCCGCGGTCTTCAACAAACGACCCTCCTTTCGGGTCCCAGCGTGACAGATAACCACCCCCTCAGGTGGAGAACTCAATGTAGCAACCTTTCCAGTTTTGTAGTCCCCAGGGTATCCGCCGGATGCAATAACAACATTGCAAGCATAGCCTGACTTAATTTTGATGTTGTTTTTCACTTGTGCGAGTGTCCTATTTGTGCACGATAGCATGACACTCGCGAGGTCGGTGTCCTCGTGAACAAGAAGCATTGAGCTTTGAGTTTCTGGGTCGCCGAAGCGAACATTGTACTCGATGACTTTAGGGCCCGATTTGGTGACCATGACACCAGTGAACAACAGGCCACAGAAAGGACGGCCTGGTAGGGTTGTTAGCGGCCGATTTGAAACAAAACGTGGGAATCAGCTCACCTTCTTTTTCAAGGGCATCGAATGTAGGTTTCAAGATGTCTTCATCAATCTTATGTAAGACATCTGGGGTCACCATGGGCACTGGTGAGTAAACCCCCATGCCTCCAGTGTTGGGTCCCTTGTTTCCCTCTAGGATGCGCTTATGGTCTTGCCCAGGCGGAAGAGAGAAGAAGGTCTCGCCGTCGCTGAAGGTCAGCATGCTAATCTCGTACCCGTCCATGAACTCTTCGATTACTACTGAGGAGCCTGCCGTAGAGAATTTGCCGTCACCCATGATGCTGCGAAGATCTTCCAGTGCTGCTTCTGGTGTTTCAGGGAGAACGACGCCCTTGCCTGCGGCGAGGCCGTCTGCCTTGATGACGATGCGGTGGTCTTTGTCGGTGAAAACATGGCGCACGTATGCACTGGCAGCCTCGAGGTTGTCAAAACTCCGGTGGTGGGCCGTCGGAATGCCGAACTTATTCATAAACTCCTTCGCAAAGACTTTGGACCCCTCAAGTTCTGCAGCCTCGCGCGAAGGGGCGAAGCAAGGCACGCCAACTAAAGAGAGGGAATGTCAGTCTGCGATTGATGGATAGAGGTCGATAGCTGGCCCCTGACCTTTACGAAAAGATTCTTCGATGCCATTCACCACATCATCATCAGGCCCGACGACTACCAGACCTATACCGATTTCTTTGGTACGCTTCGCCAAATCGTGATATTCCGAACTGCTGACACCTTCAAGGGCGGAAATCCCGACTGTGCTGTTGCTGGCTGCAACCTCATGTGTGCCAGCATTGCCAGGGAATACGAAAACATGTTTGACTGATCTGGCTCGACTCAGCTGCCAGGCCAAGGCATGCTCTCGGGCACCCTTCCCGATAACAAGCACCCGGAGGTCTCGTTCAGTCATGGGTTAATGTTAATGCGCCGACGTGATCTGTGATCAAAGTAGGTACCTAGTACCTGATGCATCACTTGATGGCACACGAGTGGGTGGAATCAGGCTGCAGCGAGAGGGGGAAGGCGTGGAAAAGTGGAAAAGTGACGGGGCGGGATGTGAGGCTCGAGGAGGAGGAGGTAAGGTCGTGATGTGAAAGGGTTACATAGTACCTCAGGTAGGTACCTAGGTAAGGTAGTGATCGATGGTGTGGGTCATGCGAAAATGCTCAATACCTTATTTCTAGGGCTTCCACATGCCTACACAAGGTACCTACTGATCTACTAATGAGATCCCCTTTTAACAGAAAACCTAAGGTGTGTTGACGCTGATAAGGTCTGGGTTCGTAGGCATCAGCCAGAGCGGCCATTTGCTTGAGTGAGGTCCGGTACCAGCAATAGGTACACAGCCTCGAGAATATAAAATTTAAGTAAGTGCTTAGGTACCTAGTAGGTATGTATGTTTCGCTTGCTCTACTGTTATATGTTGGATGCTGTTACCTCTACCCAGGTACTAGCCTTTGGATGGATGACTTATTAGAAACTTTGCATACCTTAGATAAGTACTTACCTAATGAAAGGTATACAAAACCTTGGGTAACAAAAGCACTTCTGCGTATATACATGCCATATTTCCATTTCAAAACTCTCATCGCGAGGAATTGTCTGTCAGTCCTGCGCTCCATTCCTTCAAACTTTACTGCTTCCATGCCAGAATATGTCCTCTGAGCTTCGACATCGAGGTGGTTACCAATGCCACATATACTAATACTCGACCGTCTCGGCCAAAGACGCTGTCCACAAGATCATAGTTGAGCGTACTTGTGGCGGGGCTGGAGAATAAATCGACATTGAAGAGCTCCTGGTTGGTCGTGAATTGAGTGTCACCACAACCACAGATGGAACGATATGGAGGTTGTTCTCAGTCGTACAAGATGCACAGAGAATAGTATCAGCCATCAGAGGGCTCAACAGCAAAGGAATGATGACACCGTATTCCTTCCTAGCAATCACGGGGCGCGGCTGGAGCGAATACACAAGCAGTTTCGATAGCGGCCTCCAGTGGATATCGGGGGGCGTATCGAGTAGGCGAGGTCATCGAATTTGGAGCATTACCACAAGGTAAGATGCTACTACTGACTCCTCTGGGGCGTTCTCGTTGAGGTGCTGGTCTTGCATATAGGCACATCGTGGGTAGGAGACTGCCTCGTGACTCAAGGCAGCAGCGTTTTGGCGGTGGTTTGCATAAGGCAGCCCATCCCACGGAAGAAGTCATCAAAGGAGCTTATGACGGGGCCCGAGAGATCATTTTTAAGGGCAAATATCTAGGTACGAATATCGGTCAAATTCTTTCTTCGTGGCGAAGTTGCAATTAGGCTTGATGGTCCATAAAGAGAAAGCTGGATTTCCTGCATTTCAGACTGAAGGGTAAGGTTCTCAGACTCACTCAAATACTCTCTATTAGATTGGCTATTGGTCTAGAGAGCCATGATGCTATAGGTCTTTTGTATCATTCAGTCTTCTTTCGTACTAAGAGCATTTCCAGTTCTGTTAGAGTGTGTGTTGGAGGAAACAGCAGACCTCGACGCTCAGATGCAATCGGCCAATGACCAAAATGTCCAGATTGTTTGTTACCTTGGTTGACTTCGGAATTCTGCTATGAGCATGCTGTCGTTGCTATTGTATCTCCGATACGTGATCGGTGATAAGCAAGATGGTGTGGAGCTTCATCACCAAATGCTTGTCGCCCAACGAAGTTAAACGGGAATAGAGAGCCATTAAGTCCGTGATCCCAACACTATAAGACACAGCGCCGTGACTATCAGCACATGTGAATTGAAGCAATCCACAAATCGAGCTCGAAACTTACACAGCCTTTAGCACTAAGTACCATCGACAATCAGATCAAAATGACAACTCCAGTTTGGTTCATTACCGGAAGCTCTAACGGCCTTGGTCTGCTTCTCAGCTTGAGAGTCTTGAAAGCAGGGCACAGAGTCATTGCAACTGTCCGGGACACAACAAGATCAGCCGACGCTGTCCGCCAAATCGAAGAAGCTGGCGGAAAGATCGTGACCATAGACCTGACTGAATCCAAGGCTAGCATTACCAAAAAACTCCAAGATGCAGAGAAGATTTATGGGAGAATCGACTTTTTGGTGAATAACGCTGGATACTCCGTCTTGGGAGGCATCGAGCTTTTTACGTGAGTTAGCCCAGTTATTGTTCAAATGACCGAGCGCACACTAAAGCCTGTGATAAGGGAGGCCGAGGCCGAACATCAGATCCAGACAAACTTATTTGGTCCTCTATACACCATTCAAGCTGCCCTCCCCGGAATGAGAAGCCAAGGCTCCGGCACCATCATCAACATTAGCAGTATCGCTGGCCAAGATGCCCAACCCAGCTGCGGGCTCTACAGTGCCAGCAAGTTCGCTCTCGAAGGTCTAAGCGAGAGTCTGTCTAAGGAGGTCAAAGAGTTCGGTATCGATGTTTTGCTGATTGAACCCGGTGCGTTCCGTACAAACTTCCTCGAGGCCAGCATTAAGAGCAACATTGCTGGCGAGAAAGCATATCAAGGAACGTTGTTGGAAGCAACACTTCAGAAGTTTGACAAGGCAGCTGGAAAGCAGCCTGGAGATCCCAGTAAGGCAGTGGACATTATCTTCGAGGTGGCCACGGGCGAGGGAGCAGCAGGCCATCTTAAGGGAAAGATCCTGAGATTACCCTTGGGCCAAGATTGCTTTGCTCGTCTGAAGAAGAAGCTTGATTTTCTTCAGCATGACGTTGAAGCAACTCGAGAGATTGGTATCACAACGGACCTAGACGAGAAGTAGACTCCTATAGCTCGAATTACAAGGTGGTCAACCAAGATGCTACAAGAACACCGCCATTTTTTTATTTTATTTTTTATCACGAGTACATACTACCGATGATCAGCTAGAGTCCCATTTGACGTATCCAAGGTACGTCTTAAATGAAAGAGAATGCATACTTTCCCATTAGCATATCGGCCCGGTTGTATACAATGTAGATGGCCTGGTTTGAGGTCATGCACAACCAACTCTTTGTCATAGTGAAAGCGATTTCCATTCAGTCCTAAAAAGGCGCACTGCGTCGCAGGTTTGCCAAAACCTCAGTAGTAGACATACAATGAAGCACAAAGACCAACTTAAAGGCCGGCACTGTGGAACAAGGCAAGCGCCGAGTAAACACCATAGTGTCTTTGTTGGAAAAGAGCAACAATGGGCCTAGAAAGGCCAGATTTGCAGCCCAAGACGAGTTCCCAGACTGAACACTTACAAACATGCCCCATTACAAGGTTGAATGAATATTGTAGCCACACAATAGCGTATGGGACTGAACGAGCTTATAAGGCCAGATGACGAACCACGGATTTCTACTAAATACTAACCCAACGCAATCAATACGAGCATTTCAGTCATTAGCTATTCAAATTACCGGATTTCTCTCATTATCAAGAAACAATGTATCCCGAGAGGCCACAGTCAGTTGCAGACTTGGTTCCGCTTCCGCAGGGCAATGGCCCCAAGATAAAAGCCTTCGACTTCCAAGGCCCCCAGCAGATCGAGTTCTTAGACCATCTAGGATCAGGAACACATTCTATTGTGTTCAAAGTGAAGATTAGGGGTCAGATTTACGCTCTCAAACTTGCAAGTATCACTCTAAGTGTACAGTGTACAGCCAAAGACTAACAGAGAGTAGTTCAGGTTCCCGAGCGACGAAAGCTGGGTCTCACCAGCACACGAGGACAACTGGGATGATCCAAATGCACTCGCAGCCTTTTACCCTTACTCGGAGCCTTTCACCTGCGAGTGCCGTGCATTTGGCAGACTTCAAGAGGCCGGTTACGAAGAGCTGGCAGTCAAATGTTTCGGCTATATTCTGCTGGATGATGCACACGAAGCCACCATGATGAATCAGTTCGCCCATCTCCCGAACCACAAACTCAACTTCACCTACGATGGCTATAATGATGATGATGAAGAGGAATATTACAAGGACCCCATCTTCGAGATATGAGGTCTCGTTTTCGTTGCAGCGATGGTAGCCTGCCGCCACTTCGAGGTATTGTTAAGGAGTTTGGAGTGAGCAAAGACTTGGATCATAAAGGCGCCAAAAGGATCCTCAGAGACATCAAATACGTACAGCAACTTGGAATCACCGACCTGGACATAGCATACAGGCAGATCATCAATGGTAAGCTGTCCGATTTCAGCACCAGCATCACGGTTCCTCACTTTGCCAGCAACCCAGAGTGGAATCCACACATCTCACGACGTTGCAGATCAAAGATAGAGTTTGAGCTCTTCGTCACCTGCTACAAGGACTTTCGAGACTTTGATATAATGATACACGAATGGAACGAGGATCACGAGGACAAGCAAATCAATCTTAAAGCCCTGCCCGAAGGATACCCCCCTGAGCGCAGGCGGTTGAGAAACGCTTCGACTCCAAGGCGCCTCTATACTCATGTTGATCCGAGAAACTACACCAGGTATCTTCCATACACTAACAGACAAGGAGAGATTGTCCAGAAAACGTTTCGCGCTCTTGCAAGGTTGCCATCCCCGTGGTATATGGAGTGCTCAGCCGCCGCAGTACGCAGACTCAAAGAAACCAGAAAGATTGAGGCCGGTCTTCATTGGCAGTATCAGAATGAACATATCGTGCCCTTGAACGAGGGGTAGTGCTCATTCAACCAGATGCATATGAGGAAGAGTCAGAGGCTAGCGACTTCAAACTTTGTAAAAGAAACCCGGTATTACTAGAATCATAGACCTATTTTATTTTGTTTAGCATACAGAAGGATATCCCATCAGAGGTCGAGGTAAAAGGCATGTGCTGCTCTCCTAGGTCATATTTTAGTGTGACTTGCTCCCAATTGCATGAGATCTATGCGTCGATCATTAATAACGACATGAACAGGCGAGGGACCATCCTAACGCAGTCTTGAGTGTTTGGAGTATTGCTCGGGTATATTATTGGAGTGTTTGGTCGGTTCGAGGTGACGATCTTGATATTTCACGATGTCAACAACTAGCTTGTGGTGGATGGAGCAGCTCGACGCCTGGTCACTGTCGTTCACATTATTTCTGTGCCGTATCTGCAGAAGGCGAGTAAGAGTGAATCTGTAGAAATTAGCGACAGATTCTTGTCCAGTCAATATCGAGCCATACCCGATCGGCCATCTGAAGCCATTCCTCCATACTGCGAACATAGGGATCTGCACTGGCATCTGCCACGACCTCGTGTCCCCAAACGACCATCTCGTCAAACCCGGCAGTTATTTTCATGCTTCCTATTTGTTCTGACTCTTGATCGGCATCGAGATCCTCTACCACGTCCTCGTTGGCAGTTTTGGGGTCCTTTTCGGAAGCTCGTTCGACAACAAGACCTCGATATTGTTCTGGCATTTTTACCACCTTTCCTTGAAGTTTTCTACCTCGGAAATATGCTAACTTTGTGCCATCTTTTCGGACTGTTAGTGAGCTCATGGCAACAGGATTTTTATTCAGGGACACAAACCATCGGTGGTGGTCGGGGTCCAAAATGTCGATGCCTGGTCGATTGGCCCATCATGGTGTATACGGCATGGCAACAAATTCGCCACAGCTTTGGATTTGTTCTCGTCGGGTGTTAATGAGAGTATCGGTTGCGACATTGCGGTGGGTAGTGTTGATTTGTTCGTTGTCAAGAGAAGGAGACGCGTCTCGACGCGTAAAGAGCTCTGAGGGTGGCAGGCTTATCTTATCTCACGCGCAATCAGTCAAAACTGGGTCTTGTGTTGTAGGGACCATATCAAATTGGTCTCAGAATAGTTACCAAGACCAATCAACAGTTCACTACCTCTGAAACTCAGGGCGCACTTCGATGAACCTTGGTTGTCCGGAAAATAACAGCTCTTGCTCTATATGGGTATCTTAATAAAACTTTATGAGGATGTACTTGTTTATGCCGCTCCATCAATTTCTTTTCTTTTTCGATTTGGCGCCTTTCTGGCCGCCTGATGCTAGTTTCGGCGCATATCGATTTGCGTGATCAACGTCAAACGCCTGCTTGTGCTTGCGAAACAGCAACATGGTTGCTCGCGCATCCTCAATACTAGAATGTGCGCCCCCCTGTATCTCAACGCCCAGGATCTTCTGAGCGAGAACCCGCAGTGCCGGCTTTCTTCCATTGCCATATTTCTTGAAACCTGGGAATTTGGCGGTATCGCGGATGTCTTTTCCAGAATGGCTGAGAATGAGGGCGTCTAGATCATGCTTGAGATCATGTCCAATCAATATCCGGCCTTGGAGAAGCTTGTCGATGTCTGCTTGAACTTCGTCGAATTCCCTTGCAAATCTCATCTTCTTTTGGTCAATCCCACTGACCGCTGTCCTCCAGTTTGTGACCTTCTCCTTAGGTTTCACATAAGAGTCGTAAATCTGCACACCGTGAAAATCGACGATGCTCACGCGAGCGAGAGCCGATTCATGACCGCCTGGCCCCACGCCAACCATTTCGCAATCGATAGCGATGTATTTTCCAACCTCAATTCCTTCTGTGAGTCCATGGTTGATTTTGTCCTTTGCTGAGGCGAGCATCATCGAATTGTCCTTTGCGCCCAGACTGTATGCCTCTGCCAGGGCTTCCGCAGACACATCATTGTCTTCTGCCCACAGTGCAAGGGATGTTGAGGTCCCAGGTACTGACTCCTCAATTTTTGAACTGTGAACACCACCCATTGGCTTTTTGGTTGTTATTTGAGCTGCTTTTGCTGGTCTTCTTGTCGGTTTTTTTAGGCACTCTTGCAGCTTAGACTTTTTAGGTGGTGGATTCGTTCTTAAAGTCTCCGATTTGCGCTTGAGAGATGGCTTTGATGCAGACTCTTCCTTGAGTTTTGCCTGAAGCTTCTTCCAATTGGAAGAAAGCGCCGCCATCTTCCCAAGAGAAGATAACACCCGACGAAAAATCTTGAAAAGAAAATGTGAACTGTTTGTACAAGTCGCAAAAAGAGCACCAGATGGAACGGGCGGCTTTGTGAGTGATGAGTCTAACAGAGTTTATGCATTTAAGAAAGGATAGATAGGCAACTATCGCTCTCACCGCCTTGTCGATAAGAACTCCAACCCATTTTCTGCCATGCCCCTCCAAGATTATTTCCTTCCGTTTGCTATCTTGCGACACGAGTCCATCAACGCGACAATCATCAAATACCATCCAACCATCCTGTTTTCATCATGGCCGGCGGCACACCTAGTGGCGAGCCTACCGTGGGCTCAGGTGAGCCTCGACTAAAAAGCCTTGCGACCCCAGAGACAATAACGACAGGTTGTATTGCCTGGGTCGAAAAGGAAGGCCAGCCACGACGCGCCGAAATCCTTAGCATCAAGACAACGAAAAGCGGCAAGCAATTTTATTGTAACTTTGATAACTTCAACAAACGATTAGATGAATGGGTTCCTGTGATTAGGCTGGATTTTACTCGAGAGGTCGAATGGCCAAACCCAGAAAAGGACAAGCCTAAAGACCCCAAAACGAAGAAAGCGCCCGCTGCACAATCCAAGAAAACACAACCTTCTAAGAAGTCACAAAAGAGGCCTGGGAAGCGGGAGCAGTCGGTTGCTTCAGAGGCAAATACCCCACATCCATGGACTGGTAGGTATTTCAGTTTCTGTGACTCGAATTCAAAGCTGACGCCCCCCTCGACTTCGTAGAATCCCAAAATCGTCAGAAGTCTGCCTCGATCGGGCCCGACGGGGAAAGCCAAGCTCGCGCCAGTGTTGATGGTGCAACACCTGTTGGAGGCGACGACATGGATGTAGATGAGAAGGAAGCTGAAGTCAAAAGGGAACCAACAGAATTCAGCCGTGAAGTCGAGATCGAGAAACTCCGCACATCCGGCTCGATGACACAGAACCCGACGGAAGTATCACGAATTCGAAATATCTCCAAGGTACAATTTGGGCGTTTCGACCTTTACCCCTGGTACTTTTCACCGTATCCCGAAATCTTCAGTCAGGAAGATGTGATTTTCATTTGCGAATTCTGTTTGAGTTATCATGGAGATGAGAAGGCCTTTACGCGGCATCGACGAAAGTGCACACTCCAGCATCCACCTGGAAACGAGCTCTACCGGAACGAGGATATATCATTCTTTGAAATTGATGGTCGACGACAACGAACGTGGTGCCGCAACCTCTGCTTGCTGTCCAAGATGTTTCTTGACCACAAGACACTGTACTATGACGTGGATCCCTTCCTGTTCTATGTCATGACTGCGCGAACCGAAAAGGGATGTCACTTGGTGGGATATTTCTCGAAGGAAAAAGAGAGTGCGGACGGATACAATGTTGCCTGTATTCTGACCATGCCGCAATATCAACGCAAAGGCTATGGTCGGCTTCTAATTCAGTTCTCGTATGAGCTTTCTCGGATTGAAGGAAAGCTCGGCTCTCCAGAAAAGCCATTGTCGGATTTGGGTCTGCTGAGTTACCGACAGTATTGGTCAGAGAACATTCTGGAGCTACTTATGGGATACAATGAGCGTGAGGAGAAGGTCACGATCGAGGCCATATCAACAGCGCTGGCTATGACAACACAAGACGTGGAGCACACCCTGCAAGCTCTCAGGATGCAGGTATACCACAAGAGCGACCACAAGATTGTGATTCCTGAGAAGTTGATCCAGCAACGGGAGAAGACCAAGTTGAAGAGGAAACGAACAGTGGATCCAACCAAGATTCAATGGAAGCCCCCAGTGTTCACAGCTTCAAGCCGAACATGGGGTTGGTAATTATAGACATGAAGTAGAAATAGCAAGCGATATATGTATGTATGTAGAGATAGCTTTAATGATAGATACCCCTGTTCCGTCAAAGTCATATATAGCGATTGGCTGCATAAGCCATGATAAGTTATGGCTTGGCTGATGAGCCCCACGTTGGAGCTCTGGCGGAAGCTTGTCTGGCCCTACGTAATCGGGGGGCTAGGGGGGATAATAATGCGACAGCTGTAACACCACCACAACTCTGACAACTTTCATTCTCATGTTGGACTTTGGCCTTTGACGCCCAATCGACGCCGACCTAAGTTCCAAGAAATTGCTTATGTTTCCATCCTAATATTACCATTCCTAAGTCAACAACATATCTTCTCTTCTAGCGTCCCATCATGTCACTTCGCATATTGGCATCAAGCTTGCTTGGCTTGAGCGCGACCCTTGCCAGCGCCAGTCCAGATGACGAACAGAGGCCTCTTGGCGACTACCATCGCATATGTCCCGACTATACACGATATGCAGCATATCCTCAGTATGTTATGTTATGTTATGTTATTCTCATTGCGCAACATACTGAACCCTTCTGACATCACTTTTGCATAGCCGGCCTTTCAGTACTGGCCCTCGAGAGCTCCCTTACCAAAGACCAAGCACGAAATGCCGGACATTTCAATCCGACGCTATCGAAAAGGTTATTGAAGATGTGACGTCGCGTATGAAAGACCCCGATCTAGCACGACTCTTCGAGAACGCATTCCCCTCGACGACCGATACAACCGTCAAGTTCCATACCAAAGGAAAACATGATACAGGGTTCTTCCGCATGGGAAGCTTTGGGGGTTTCCATGATGAGGGAGCTTGGCAGGGACCACAATCTTTCATCATAACGGGGGACATAATAGCGGAATGGTTACGCGACTCAACAAACCAGTTGCGCCCTTACCAGCCGCTCGCGAAGAAGGATCCGGCCATTCACACATTGCTGCTCGGTGCCATCAACACTCAGGCCGAGTATGTGATTGAGTCCCCATACTGTAACGCCTTTCAACCTCCACCCATCAGCGACTTACCTCTCTCGTCTAATGGGCAAGAAGACAACGTACACCCAGCATATGAGCCACAAGCAGTATTCGAGTGCAAGTATGAGCTGGATTCTCTGGCACACTTCCTCGCTCTTGGCAACGATTTCCACGATCATACAGGCTCAACCGAGTTTCTAACCAAGAGATGGTACCGCGCTGTTGAAACCCTCCTCAACGTGCTGACTGAGCAATCGAAGTCGACCTTCGACCCCAAGACCGGCGAGTTTCAACGCAACGAGTACACATTCTCGCGGCGCACCGACATTGGAACTGAAACACTCAACCTGAAGGGCGTTGGGAATCCTCTAAACTGGGGGACAGGCCTGGTTCGATCAGCCTTCCGACCCAGCGACGATGCAACAATTCTCGGTTTCTTCATCCCCGCCAATGCGCAAATGTCTGTCGAGCTGAAGCGAGCGTCCAAGATTCTTACGAAGGCGGGTAAAACGACACTGGCGCAAAAATTAGAAACTTGGAGTGCAAAGCTCCGCGAAGGCATCATGGAGCATGGTGTGGTCAAGCACAAGAAATATGGAGATGTGTTTGCTTACGAAGTAGATGGATACGGCTCGTCGATCCTCATGGATGACGCTAATTATCCTTCATTACTGGCACTTCCTCTGATGGGATTCTGTGAGGTCAACGACCCGATCTACCAGAACACAAGGAAGATGTTGTTGGAAAAGAGTGGAAATCCTTACTATCTTGAAGGGAACGCATTCAAGGGTATCGGAGGTAGGGTTTCTTATACATACATGATTAGTACTGCCACTGACAGTTTACAGGACCACATATCGGACTACGAAACGCGTGGCCGATGAGCCTTCTCATTCAGGCTCGAACCTCTAACGACGACAAAGAGATCAAAGAATGCATTGAACTTGTGCTCAACTCTGCCAGGCTGGGGTTGGTCCACGAGAGTATTGACGTTCAGCACATTACACAATACACGAGAAGTTGGTTTGCTTGGGCAAATGGTGTATTTGCATCAACCATCTTGGATTTGGCTAAGAGGAAACCACACTTGATCTTTGGCGAGGGCGCTGCACCGTATGAGATATGATTGACGAGAATGCTGAACCATATGGTGTTTGCGGCAACGAATAAATTCATAATAAATGCTCGATGGGCTTAATACTGGCAAATGTCGTGATCTTGCACCTAGGCAATGAAATGATAACCTGATATCGGATCTCGTTACCCCGGGCCAGATTTTGAGCTAATGAACTGGCTGCGAGCACTGTATGTAACACCTAAACTACCTACCTTATAGTACGGTTAGTACCTAAGGTAGGCACTAAGAAAGGTCCACAGTTATCCGTCTCTAACCCTCACCATTCTAGGCAAGTTAGCCGTCTGCACCATTGACCATCGTCTTCGTCTCCATGAATATCCTTCAACCGGCCCGACATCGCTCAATTGGACTCGCTGTTGACGTTGGCCTCTATAGGAATTACGCGATATATAAAGGAAGGCGACGCCAATATCACGGGACGTTGCGTTGTAGTTCTTCTTTACTGTCTAATAGCGCTGCAGCTTCCCCTCTATGTCGCCATAATAGCGATTGCCCCTCATCACCCAACACAACCAAGATGACCACGATACCAACCCATGCTTCTGAATTCCCCCCAAATCCTCAGTCGGGGAAGCATCAAATTAATCTGATTCGCGGCTGGCCAAACCCAGGTCTTCTACCTGTTGACCTTCTCTCAGCTGCTGCTCAGCGGAACCTTGCAGATCCAGCTATATATGTTCCCGCGCTGCAATACGGTCCAGATTCTGGTTATCAGCCGCTGCGCGAGGCATTGGCTACTTGGCTGTCGGAGCACTATCGTGTTGAACGAGATCCGAATCGTATCTGTATCTCTGGCGGTGCAAGTCAGAATGTCGCTTGCATCCTCCAGAGCTTCACAGACCCCAACGTAACTCAGGCTGTTTGGTGCATTTCACCGTCATACCACCTCGTCTTCCAGATCTTCCGCGACAACGGCTTCGAGGGACGCTTAAGGGCAACACCAGAAGATGAGGAGGGGGTTGATATTGAAGCGTTGGAGGCCAAACTAGCTGAGTTTGAGAAGCACGCCCCAGAAGCCAAGGTATAACACTCGCGAGTGCTGTTAGTAAGGTAGTCTGTAAACTGACGCCAAGTAGGCCCCTGTGAGTGATGCTGGAAGGTACCGTAAGCATTATCGACATGTCATCTATGCGGTTCCCACTTGTTCGAATCCCTCCGGCAAGACAATGTCGCTTCGCCGTCGGGAAGCTCTTGTTCAACTTGCGCGCAAGTATGATGCCCTCATCATTTGCGACGACGTATACGATTTTCTCCAGTGGCGCATCGACAGCGACCCCAGCAAAATTTCAAGCAGTCTGAGCCCTAACGAGCATCCAGAGATGCTACTCCCGCGCCTGTGTGACATTGACTTGGCTATGGGTCGTGCGAACAACGATCCCCATGGTTTTGGGCACGCTGTCAGTAATGGATCGTTCAGTAAACTCACTGGCCCTGGGATGAGAACTGGTTGGCTCGAAGGATCTCCTGCTTTTGCATTTGGGTTGGCACAAACGGGTGCAACAAAATCCGGCGGTTCGCCGAGTCAGTTTTCTGCCTCTATTATGGCCGATTTGGTTCAGTCAGGGGCTCTTCAGGAGCGACTTGCCACTACGCTCAGGCCTCAGCTTCAACATCGTCATCGGATCATGATGCAAGCTATACATAAGCATCTCGAGCCTCTCAATGTTGGCATCCGAGACGCTGGTCTTGTCAATGGCAGTGTTTATGGAGGTTACTTTGTGTGGCTCACCTTGGAAGAGGGTATCTCAGCCAAGCTTGTTTCAGAAGTCACAATGACCGAGGAGAATTTAGTTGTGGGGAATGGAACTATGTTTCAAGTGCCTGGCGATGAGGCTTCTGTTTATTTGGACAACGCCGTACGGCTGACGTTTGCATATGTCCCCGAGGAGGACTTGGTAGAAGGTGTTGAAAGGTTATCAAAGGTGGTTCGGAGGATAAAGGCCGACCCTGAGAAATACAAGGCGCTTGCTAGCACAATGGCCGATGGTGATATTATAGATGCCAACAAATGATTAGAATATGTTTTCTGCAGTCGTTGTCCTCCCCAATTCTTTTCAATGGTCCCTCTAAATTCATTCTACTTCTTCGAAAAGAACGACATAATGTTGCCCTGTCCCTTTGGTGCCGGCTTCTTTGATTTGGAGCCTGTAGATGATGAAGGTGTAGGTGTAGGAGCAGGGGCTGCCTTTTTGGCCACTAGGGGAGCCTCATCCTCAGAAAAAGATTCCCAGCCAGGTTCTTGGATGGTGACTTTTGGCAATTAGCATCATAGCCTAGTAAGATTGTAAGGAAGACTTACCCATATATCCTTGATCGTCAAGGATTCGCTTCTTCTTCATCACACGTCTTCTGCCCCTCCTGCGTCCACCACCAGTGCTCGAGACCAGTTCTGCTGGTTCGCTCTCTTCCTTCTTGGCCTCGGGCTCTGGCTCAGGTTCTGGTGCTTCTTCCATCTCTTCATCGGCTTGCTCGGACTCCTTGTCGGACTCTTCCTTCTCCTCTTCCTCGTCATCGTCTTCCATCATTTTTCGTAGCGCGTCCTCACGTTCCTGACGCTTTCGCTTGATATCGGTAGAATCCACAGTGGACTTTGACTTGGTTGCCACGATGTCAGAGTCATCTGCCTCACCATCATCAGAGAGGGCCATGGCTGTGTCCTCTTCCTTCTTGGGGCCAGGCTTGGGTTTAGGTGGTCGTGCAGCCGCTTTTGCGAATGATTGCATGATACCGCCAGATACTCCTCGTTTGAGAGATGGCGCGGGCTTCTTCCCGCCACTTGGGGCTGTTGTTCCCTCCTTGGCCGATGGAGCTGAAGACTCCAGTTTAGCAGACTTGCTTTGCTTTGCCTCGGGCTTCACCGTTTCTTGTTTGGCCGCTGTCTTGGATGTTGGCTTTGATGCAGCAGGCTCTTTCTTGACGGCCTGGGAGGGAGCTGAAGCAGAGGGTTGAGGCCGGATCGTGCGTTCTCTCCTCCGGGCGTTCGGGTTATTAATAACGCCATACTTCTTAGATGCGGCAGTGATGTCCCCATTTAATGAATACTCCGAGAGTTGAGATGCAGCATCTGACAGGAGGGAAAAGTCTTTTTGCGGATGAGGTGAAAGACTGTAAACGTGGATCGAAACTACCTGCTCATAGGCAGCCAGGATATCTAGGAGACAGGTCAATTCGAGCCCATCTCACAAGTTCCCCTTAGTGGGTTCGTACCGTTTAGTTCTTCTTCCCGAGCTAGAGTCAGTGTGGAAGCCGGAACCTCATCTGAAAGGGGCTCCTCGGGCGATGAGCCTGACATGTCAACATCGCCGTCAGATTCGTCCCTCTCTAGAGTTTTGGTGCCATAAATTAGGTATGTCGCATGAACAGAGTTAGCTTTCTGCGCATTTTGATAGCTATGAAAGTCATAGAGCATCCTGTCAAATGTTAGAGCTTATTCCAGAGCCTATACAAGTTCTCGGGCTTACTCTTTGGCAGTGTTGACATGTACATCCAAAGCTCTACTCAAGACCCGATACGTGATCTACACTCCATCAGTCAGTGGCTCGCTGTACTAAGTGAGCGTGACAAAAGGGTTGAAACAAACCGGTTGTTCTTCACTAAGCAGACGATCTGCCAGAAACTTTTTGTGTTCGTCCATATTGCTTTTGGTTTTTGGAGTCTTGACACACAAAAAATGGTTGATTACAGGCGGCGAGATTCAATTGACAAAATCGCTGTCCCTAACATTAAGGATCCATGCCTGCAAGGTACTGACTAACTACCTACTTACCTAGGTACCTTAACCTTACGCGTTGGGAAGGACACGACATCACGTGGGGTGCTTTCAAAAGGCCAGTCACCAACTGGCTAAATGCATAGCACTAACTCAATCTGACCGTTTCAAAGGCGTTATTCTACAATCGGGTTCCTTAATCACTACCAGCGTCATCCTAGAGATCGCGTCTCCAGCGCGACCACTTTATTCTGGGCCTGGGATCTTTGTCCTAAATTTACAAAGTCCTACTGAGGATATCAAGACCAGTTCAACCTCGGAGCCATCTTCGCCCTCTACCTACATCATATTACTCATTCGCTTTAGCCCCTGTTCGCACTGTTGCGCCCCCTATGGCCAACCATGATGTCCCTGACTCTACAGACTGGCTCACGACGCCACTAACTGCCCTTGCCGTAGTCGAAAGTGCTTTGCGATGTCAAATATGCAAGGACTTCTACAAAACCCCCATGATCACAACTTGCTGCCATACCTTTTGCTCACTATGCATCCGACGGGCTTTGTCCAATGAGGGCAAATGCCCCTTGTGCCGCGCATCAGAGCAAGAGCTCAAGCTGCGGAGCAATTGGGCAATGGAAGAAGCTGTGCAAGCATTCATCAATGCCAGACCAACAACTCTAGACCTGGCGCGAAACGCAAATACCAAGACAAGCTCAAAACGAAAAGCAGTCCAGGATCATCATGAGTTGGGAGATACACCAGATGGCAAGCGACTACGGTCATCCACGCGACTGCGCAACACTCGGTCCCACCCCTCATATACAGTTCCTGCTGAAGAAGACGAGACTGTCCAAGTCTCAGAGGGTGATGAGGATTTCCAACCGGAGCCAGGTGAGTTCAGCGGTGCCAAAGGCGCATATTTCTTTCCTAACAATCGCCAGAGGACGGCCTTGTCGCGTGCCCAGTTTGTGAAAGTCGAATGAAGGAATGGCAGGTTTTCAAGCACCTCGAGACATGTACAGGACCTGTACAAAGGCCACGGGGAAACCCTGGCAGCAGCTCAAACACCAGCGTCAGCCAACAACGACATCAGACAAAGGCTCCGGACCGCCTCCCTGCAATAAATTACTCCATGTTCAAGGACCAAGCTTTGCGAAAGAAGATGGCTGATCTTGGTATTTCAAATCAGGGCCCTCGAATTCTTCTGGAGCGCCGACATAAAGAGTGGATGACGATATGGAATTCAAACTGCGACGCTGCACGCCCAAGGAAACGTCACGAATTGTTACATGATTTGGATGTCTGGGAGCGAACACAGGGAGGACGAGCTCCAACAACAGGGCGATCTATACAGAATGCAGCAATTATCAAGGACAAAGACTTCGACGGTGCAGCATGGGCAGCCAAACATGACTCGTCCTTCAAAGACTTGATTGCAAATGCAAAGAGGACTAGGCTTGAGGCCAAAAAGAAGGCTGAGGACGTTGCTAACGAGTCGAAAATGGACGGAATTACAACACCGCAGGAGAGCAGCGATCGGTTGCAAGACAATTCTGCAGACTGGCGGACTGTGTCAAGATCCTCAGCCTTTCCATCAAGACCGGCTGAAGGAATCCCAGGTCGAACGTCACATTCCGATAGTTCATCGCCTGAATCATCGCGCTCTCAGTCTAAGGACCACCGAGGGAGCACCAGAGATTCGAGCAGACATCCATCAGACACCCGCAGGGACAGGCTCTCACAAGACTGAAAACACAGCAACCCCTGGCCTGAGAACTACGATCGCGACTCGTAAGCCGGTCGAGAACGGCGTACTGATGGTTGGAATGGCATATATAGAAGGGCATGCATTGAGATACCACCTAATGATATTTATAATGGCACGACAACAAATGTGCCTTTGGTGTATAGATTCTAATGAACAAAAACCCAATTGTACAATCTTAAGTCCAAAAACGCCAGGGATATCCTGCTATATCATCATGTACACGTATGAACCATCCAGCCTGCATTGAGCTTGGCTCTCTTCCCAGTCAGTTCGCCTGGCGTCTTCTATATCGCCAGATTTGCAATCCCAGTCTCGGATGCTAGTGTCTGCTCCTTTAGTCGGATCTCCTCACCACCAGCAGGTACATCAGGCAATTCATCGAGCTTCTTTTGTGCCTCGGCTGCCTCCCGTTCGTCGTGGGCTTTCTGTTCCTCGGCCTCCTTGCTCTTCGTCTCCTCTTCTTCCTTTTCGCGCTCTTGTGCCTCCATAGCCTCGAGCTCGTCGTCGAGCGCGGTTTCGTCGATGGGCTCGCCTGTTGATTCGGCCAGAATAGCGCTCACCTCGTCGGTCGCACTGCTCTGCTCCCGTAGGCGATCCATAACTGCATCGACGCGCTCGGCACCACCGACCTGTGCATTGAGGCTTGCCAGGGCACCAGAAGAAGCCTCCATGACGTTGACAAGCTGCACATTGTCAGCAGCCTGCTCGAGCTTGGCAGAAACTTCTTCTAGTTGGTTCAGAGTCGCGTAGCGAGTAGCTAACGAAGTCTCTGCAATCTTTTTGGATTTGAGCGCAGCAAGAGCTGCAACGCGATTCTTTTTAGTAACGGCATCCTTGGCTGTTTGGGAGAGTTCATCGATGCGTGTGTTAAGGAGGTCGGTTTGGTGCTTCAAACTCTCTGTGAGCTCCTTCAGGGATGCGATCGCAGCGTCCTCCTTTGTGATACCGCTCTGCTCCCCAGAACCCTTAATTCTGATCGTTTTCCCATCATATTCGATGACTTCCTTGTCCCGCGACAAAAACTTGAGTAGAACGTCAAGGTCTGAGTCGGTCAGGTGTTGGCCTTTAACGAGAGCCGCGGAAAAGGCTTTTTGAAATTGTGCTCTGCTGAAAACACGATCGAATCTTGACACCTTTCCGGCCATCAGATCGCCCAGCTCTTTCGCAGCGGCTTCCATATTCTTGACAATGACATATTGACCTGTGGGCAGCTTGTCGTCGCCTCTGGCAGGGTCTACCACGCCCAGCTGTCGCAAAGTCCAACTCATCACACTCCATGGTAGACCTGCCCAACTGCGTTGATAGATGCTCTGTTGTGATTTCTCGAAATCTTGTAGTGGAATAAAGTCCCGGCCGGCGGTCGCTTCGCGCACTACCGTTCCAAGGGCCAGGGGCTGGCCAAATTCCTTATATTCCAGTGATCGCAGTAAGGAGTCGTCGAGTTTAAGGACGAAGTGATCGGGGCTGGATCCGCGATGGGAAATCTTGCCATTCGCGACAAGATCTGAGAGGGCCTGGCGCCATGCGGAAATGTTTGCCTGGTAGCCATCGGGATTCAAAGTGCGCTGTGATCGAAAATCCGAATATCTGGCTGCTAATCGTGACCTCGAGATTTGTTAGTCAAACAAACAACAGTTATCGGGATTCGCGGGACAAGGTATGCTACCTGCTGAAGCTGGGGTCTTTATTGATGAGGTAGTCGGCGAGCTCGCCCATGATGTTTGTTTTGCAAGCTGAATCGGTGTATGCAGACAAGACTCGCAGATGATAAACCTAGAGGGATAAAAAGTCAGGATCCTTCGAACGGCTATTTTTCCACGTCATAAGACGAAAAGATGGATGTTTAAAGAAAGGTTTGAAGAATGACGACACATTTGGAGGATGGATGCACGCGGTGAATGCAATACACGTCCATCCATTAGGTAGGTACTCCATATTAACATTTGGTATCGCCCCGTCCCGTGGCTTTGGCGGGCTGTCTGTCGCCAGGGACAATGATAAGGTAAGGTACATACTCTGTGGGTAGTGGGGGGGTAGTACTCCGTAAACCTACCTA